GTCAAACAGAAGGCATATCTTTACCACTAAAATATTCTTATCTTGTATATGGATGACTGAGTCACCACACTCATACCTCAAGAGGGCATGAGCCAAGAGGAACATCTTTCTCCTCTGACTGTCTCAAATGTCTGAGTGCTTTTCAGAAAGCATTATGCAGTACAGAAGTTGTGATGTACCAGTCACAAAGAGTTTCAGAATTTTAGTTTAGTTCAGAAGTTGAAGGGACAAATCTTAATAACTCCTCCAGGGGTATAAATGCCAGTGTTGTCAATCCCAGATGTTGAGCTATTCTGAGTCAGACCTCCAGTTCCAGAAAAAAGTATGAGATTTGGCTTAGAAGTAATGGGATTATTTTAAAAAAATGAGCTGATTGTATTCTGAGGCTTTTAGGTGTCAAGCCTTCAAGCGTTTCTTTGAAAACACTAGGGCTGGAAGCTTGCTTAAAAAGAAATGCAAATCCGGATTCTGTCACAATCTGATGACTTCAGAAATTGGGGCTTTAGGAAGAACAGCAACTATTGCAATAAAATTGTAAGAGTTGCAACAGTACGACTGAGAGCAATTCTGCTGTAATCATGGGCAGCAGGGGCTACATGGAATTGATTTGTAAGTCAGTTGTGTCACTTCAGATTTATATTGCTATCAATGCAAGCTGACTTTGGCTCCAGGTGTTTCTCTGAACATTTTGAGTCTGCAAATCTGGGCAGTAAATCTAACACTAACTGGCTTGCTTAGGACATATTTGATATGTTGATGTACAATGTCAGCATTTTAGAGAATTGGAGGGATGATAGCACTTCAGAGGAAATCCAGACCCAGACACGAGGCATCTTTGTAGATCTGAACAAAGAGGGCCTTCCTGGTTCTAACACCAGTATCCAACCCAACTTCCCACACAGTCTCAATTTCACCTCAGCGAAACACGAGTCCCACTGTATGCTCCAATCTCAGAATTCAGGATCTGGTTAGAACACATGTTTATACCATTATAACCAGTCTTTACGTCTTCGTTAAAAACAAGTAGAAATGATAAGCAAATGGTGGCTGTGTGCAGTTTGTGTATTCACTCCGGATCTTAATTTTACAAAGCCAGTGTAACTTAACAGTGTTAATGTTGCCTGTTCAGACCCTCAGACTCTGGTGGCATTTCCAGTTTCAGCTGCATTTTCACTTCCACCCAACTTATCCAAACAGCCTTGAAAAGGTGCAGTTTCAGATGCCAATTCTGCCCAAGCAATAGCTTGCTCTTCTGTATGTGTTACACTGATTTCATGGTACAAAAAGCTGAAGTGTTTCCTACTTTTCCATGCTGCTTTGATCATATATTTGTTCCCACGCAAGAGACTTTCCATAAGGATAGAGCTGGGTGAGATGTGCTGGGGACATTAAAAGTACAGATCACAGCTGTGATCCATTCAAAGCCATAATAATAACCACACACACACACACACACACACACACACACACACACACACACACACACACTGTCTTCCATGGCATATTTTCTATGTGACCTGAAAACCAGTATAGAGAGTGCTCTCAGAATAAAGTTCAGTGAAAATTCTCTAAGCTTGAGGGCAAAGGAAAAGACTATATTTGGTGATTTTTTTTCTGCTGTGTCGATCTTCTCTGGGTGCTCAATCACAGACAACAGCACACCAGTCCTAGTAACCACCCCTAGAGCACTTAACAACAGGGCTGGATTTAAGTAATATGAAGCCCTGAGAAGGCAAACTTAAGAGCTCCTAAATCTCACGCTACTTCTTATGATACTGGATGGGCTACTACTGTATTAAATGACTGAGAAGATTAGGTTCAATATATGCCATTGTGCTTTTTCCATCAGTGCATCCACACTTGATATCAGTACTGATTTTTGAATAAGCCATAAGCAAGCAACTTCATAACTTCTGATTGGTTTGCAGGGAAGTAAGATTACATCTTCACGATTGAATTAATACTAAATCTGCAGAACATGCATGGAAAACAGAGCTGTTGGCTCCTTCCACATGTCCCACAAACTAAAGTCAAAGGCATAAATATAGGAATGCAAGCTTAAAATGAGGGGAAAAAACCTAAATCCTCCCATTCTGGGGTCAAGGAATGACAAATGTTTAACTGGCAAATTAACTGACAAGGCTTATAATAATGTGTATTTATTTCTTTTGATGGATTGAGTTGTGCTAATAACTCTTACTAAAACTTAGCTGTTTGAATCCAGCCTGCAAGAAAGCCCCATGGGTTCTGTGAATTCTCAGCCTGCTAATGTCTGCAGTTTCAGGAGCTCGTGGAACTCTGTCTGTCTTTCCATATGGGTAGGAAGGGAATCTATAGTCATGGAAAGATTACATTATATGAAAGACTTTTGGAACTCATGACCTAGCAAATTGAAACCAAGTTGTTATATATTTGCAGTCAGATTTTTTCAATACAACATCATATACAGAAATAAGAACCAGGGAGGCTATGGTGCTGCCATGCAGATGGAGTGAGTCAAATATACTGTGCCAGGCACTGGCACCTTTAAATGCTGTGCTACTCCACACAGGCTGCCTCATAAATTGGTTGCTTCAGGTGGATTAATTAGCATTGCTGAGTATCAGCAACTGTTAGTCTGTCCCATGCATGGCATGATAAATTTGCTGTGTAGACACAGCCTGTGTTAGCTCACTTCACTGATTTATGGGCTTACATTTGGAGAGAGGAGTAGGGCATTATATTTACCAGTAGGCATTGTATGTAGGTAGTCAGTCATACTAGTTTCTAGTTCTGTAGGGTTTGTATCTAGCTTCTGCTAAAAATGTTATTTTGATTCCCTTATTCAAGGGCAGGCAGGACAGGGAAATCATGGCAGGAGATTGAATTAATCTTATCAAGACTTCACTTGCTACAGAATCAAAATTACCCTGTTTTTTGTGCTCCATTACCCTTTGCTGCATTAAGCATGTTAAAGTGCAAAGGATGGAAGTCCATCACACTTGGCATATTCCTTCCTGTTTTCCTATCAGGAGGGTGTAATCCAGCAGGAGATTTAGGAATGGGTAAAATCTCCCCAGAGAATATAGGATCTGTAAGGAAAGTGCTTGTAGATGGCAGGCAAATGAAATGTCCATCTGTTTTGTGAAGATGCGGAAAAAATAGCCATGCATTCCCTTGGAGTCCAGTTTAATTGGCAGCAGTGTCTTTTAGTTGTAAAAGATGTGCATAATGATAGTAACAGTGGAAACATCTGATTCACAACCCCAGAAATGGATGTTTATCTAGATCTTGGTAATGGGACTATCCAATACTTACGATCAAAACATCATACCCAAAGCTTTGGGGTGGGTAAATTGTCCAGATGCTAGCTCTGCAATATAACCCTTTCTTGATATTAACAAGGACCAACGTGGTATTTCTGCAACACAAGATACAAACACTCATTCAAGAATGCCCCCTGTCAACTCTGTACTGACAAGTACTACACGTATACAGATGAGAGGCTATTTAGATTTCACTACATAATTTCTCAAGGACTTGGAATAGGTCTGATGCACTGTTTCTTAAGATCTGCTGCAAGTGATTAGTGCTGGTATAAAGGGAATGTGAAATGCTTCTGTTTTGATGCTAGGCAGCTGGCACTCATTTTGCACTGATATACATTATTTTGTGGTTTTAGCCTTCGGATTAAAAAGCCAGTTCTCATTCCTCTTAAATCAACACAACAAGTGACATTCCTTTACAATCATCACATAACTCCTACCCAGCCTCTGGATACTTATACAACAGTAATGAAGTAAACAGGCTAGGGCTTCCTTCACCTCACTCCAAAATTACAATGTGTCATTGACTTCTGGTCCAGTGCATGGAAATGAAAACAACATTTTAGTTTCAAAGTTTGAGTTGCATCTACCATGGGAATGGATGAATTAAAAAGAGGGGCTAGAAGCTTCTACAGCCACCAATATTTGCTTACTGTTCACACTATTTGCATGTACGCTGCATTTACACTGTGTCATTCCAAGATAGGAAGTCCCTACACTGATCAACCAAAAAGGCTATATTAATAACCTAGCCCCCCAAAAGAGCAGGAGACTGAGTTTGACATGGCTGTTTTCTATTTTTACCAGACTTTGGCAGGCCATTAGCATTCTGTTTAAAGTGAGTCAAAAGTCACAGTGAACAGAAATTGTTGTGTTTTTTTTTCACTCATTGCTACACTAACTTAATAAAGCGCTTTCTGGGCTTGGTTTTCTCTTATCTTTTACACTGAAAATAAATGGGAAAGCAATGGCTATGCTGAGGTGAGAGTCATTAGAAAAAGGAGACAGTTAATGGCCATCTGGGCACAGGGCTCACTCCAGGTTCTTTTGCAATTGAACACTGCATAGAAAGACTGATCTGCTTTCTTCTGCACAAAAGTTGGGGAGATCCATTTGGTTAAGGATTAAATCTGTCTAATAGCAAACGTGATCTGAAATGTTTTAACTGTACTAGGAACATCAATGTAGAATAATGCTCAGTGCCCTAGGGATAACTGCTGCGCGGTTGGATGTATAGCTGTTGGAAAACGAAGGACAAAATTCTCTATGCTCAGCAGAGCTGTCAAGGCATCAGTTATAGACCTCTGGTCCTCAATCCTAGTGAATCTCTGAACAGCCTTAGCTGCTTTAAGTTGCATCCGGTGGCTCTGTTTTTGAAGGGATCCTTTATTAGCTAGCTACTGCTCCCTCTGCCACACCTTCCATTTTTTCCTGGACTGCAGTGTGCCCCCTTCCCTCATCAACTCAGTTCAGAGAGTGAGGATTGGTGTTATAGCAGGAAGAAATTACTTTGTGCTTGAGGGGGGACTGCATTCAGCAGAAGAGGAGTAAGAGAAAGAAAGCCATCGATCATTTTGCACTATTCTGGCAAGACTTTGATTCTCTTTCTCTCATGCACAAATTTATCAAGAGAGTTCCCCTTCACTATATGCAGCTCAGAAATCTTTTCTTAGTTTTCTAGGGTTCAGTTTCAACATGTATCCAGAAGATGATAGAATCAGACGCTCTGAAGATGCAGAAGGTATGGACAGCTAAATGTGCCATACAAAATTAAAGGGGGAGGGCACATACTGTGTCAGCTAATCCACAGGAGCTGTTTCATGCCTGCTCCTATCCCATAGTAAATGGATGGTACATTGATACAGCTTACCTGTGGTTTAGCTTCCACTTATCAAAGGATGGACAGACATACAACAGTTAAAGCAGATTAGCTGATGCATGTAAACATTTCTCCCTTTTAACCACATATAAATTGTTCATCTTGTCCATACTTTCAGATCCATTTTTAGGCTCTCCTGAAACTTGTAAAGTAGAGGAACTGCTTGTTGCCATAGTTAATGAGGAGGGAAAGACTAGTGCACTGAAGTTAGGATTCACTGTCAAACTTCTTAAGTGGTTGGAAGTGTTAAATTCTGCAGGTTTGGTTGGGCAAAGAATGGACATGACAGGCAGACAAAATTTGGGGGTTAAATTGACCCTCACAAACCTCAGTTATGATGTGAGATATTTTGTCTTGGTTTAATGCATTTCTCTAGTAGCATTGGTGTATGTGATCTTGCAGAATGATCTTGACAAATACTTGTTTGCTGGGAAACCTTACGAATTGCATAATCTGCCCCAATTTCTCTTCCAGTCTGAACATGTTTATGTTTTCTTGGAAGAGAAAGGAAGCACCTCTCAGTGCTAAAAGGCCTATTTATTAAAACTTGTCTGTAACAACCAAAACAAGCAAATCATGTTTTCTGGGAAGTTATGCTTGTGTTCAGGATGTGTTGTCCAAACTAGTTACTGACTTTGGGATTCTTTGCTCATGTTATTGAAGTGGCCAATAATCTGGGAGCATAATAATAATACTAATAATAATACTAAGAATAATAACCTTTCCCTTGGAAACATGCTAGGGATTTTTTTTGTGTGATGGTGGACTATAACAGAAATAGGTCCTATCAGCTTTACTGTTACTCACAGATTCCCAGAGCAACCATTATTTTGGCAGTCTAGAATAATTCCATATCCAGAATATTATTTTAATTTCCAAGAAACAAGAACCTCTGGGCTGGGGAGAATCTTGTTACAATGGCTAGTTTCCACGGTCATTCAGAAAGAAACCTTATAAACAACTCTCTGTCAGCATCTTTGGGGGCCTACACATATTTGATAATTATGGGCCCCCAGCTCAGTAAATCCCTTGAGCATGTGCTGAGTCCAGTTTAGACTATTTAACATTAAGTACCTACTTACGTTTTGATCTGAATTGAGGACATTATGGGCGTGTTCACACAAGTGCGCATGTGCTCTTTGCTGTGCCTCAAAGGCTTTTGAGGTGCTGCAAAATGCACCCTGTGTACCCCATGCAAAATGCACCCTATGCACATGATTTGATTCTCCATGCTGCATATTTTCAGGAAAATCCTGGTATAAAAAAAAAAAAAGCACGCCAGAAAGAAGTGGCATGGTGCACATGGCAGCAGCATGTGCTGCCCAAAACCAGAGCCTGACTGGCCAGAGCCATGCCCCAGCTGCCAGCTAGGCCCTGCACATGCAGAATGCCGTCACTGCAGCCCCAGGAGGCCCCCAGGACCCCAGGGAAGGCTGCTGGGGTCAGCTCAGGTACTGGCCACAGCCTCCTCTACCTCATCTAGGGCAATTTGCCCCCCACCAGGGCATGTGTGCAGAGGGATTCCCCAGGGATAGCTAGCGGGGGCTCAACTATGTGCCGCTGCTGGTTGGCCCTGGGGAAACGTAGCGCATGCTTGTCTGGATGTGCCCTATCAGTCTATTCATCTTTCAAATCGAGGCCTGTGTTGCTTTCTCTTCTGCTTTCATACTCTCTCTTTTTTTATCAAAGCTGTTATTTGAATAATGGTTGGAAAACTTTTTTGTTACAATTAAATTTATAGGTGAAATGCATTTTCCGGGAGAGAGCCAACCCGAGACCTATCCACTATTTAAGCCCTGGAGCACATTCTAGCAATGCTTTTAGTTGTTTGGCTGAAGTGTGATGTAAATAGTGAATAGATAATATGTTGGGCCTTTGAACAGGGGTCAGTTTTACTCTGTATGAGATTTTTTAGCATTGTTATTCGTAAGGGAGGCTACAGATAATGGCAGAACGTGTCATATATCTGTGTAAAAGACACCAATATTTATTTGCAGCTGGTCCAAAACAGTAAAAGAAATCAATGACTTAAAAACATTAACAATTTTTTAAAAAAATATTTCAAAGCAACTTTTTTAAAACAAAAAGTTCTGCTGTTCTATAGCTGGACAAGAAAACTGGGTAAAAGCATGACTTTTATTTTGGGGAGTTTCTGTGGATGTTTGAATAGTTGATGAAATTTAAAAAATCATTAACATCTCTCATTACATGGAAGTCATTCAGATTAATTTTTCTGCTCTTTGTAGAATAAATTTCCTTTTAGTATGTCTGTTCACTGTATACTCTCCTTCCATGGCAAAACGTCTGGGTTCAGCCAAAGACTGGAAATATATAGTAAAATGCATGGAAAATATTCTGTGATCAATAAGGGGACACACAGCTGTCCTTCCTCATGAAGAACTAAATAGCAACTAGTTGACTCGAACTCCTATCTTGATCTAAAAGTGCCGCTTTTACCTGGTTGAGCTAACAAATACTTTCTAGTTTAAAAAGCCGAATGGGGTTTATGACATGCACAGTCCATGTTCCACATGGGAAAAAAGATAGATGGCAGGTATCTGCACAAGGCAACTCATTTAATATATACAGCAGTGATGACAAATGTTCAGTATTTTTCCGAAATAATGACTATTTAACCCCAAGATGGAAACTAGACATCAGTTTCCAAGTACAATGACCAGAAAATGTGGTTACGGGCAGGGATCCTGGTTTTCTCTGTTTAAAAATCTCAACCTCCCCTCGCAGATTCTCTAATTAAAAAACCCCAAATCCACGTTTTCCACGATTAAAATGAAACACCACTATCTATATAGGTATCAGTTGAACACAATGTTTTATTGATATATTTACAAATTTAAAGCAGTTTGGAAGCCTACCAGTACCTCAATCACTATAATAAAATAAATTCTAAATACCAATACATTTCGGCATTTGATTTTGGGTTTTTTATCATGGAAAACCAGAGCTCCCCCTGCCCCCTTCGTTTACCAGGATGTGGGTCCAGCTGCAGCTGTTCCCCACCACCTCCCACCCCCCGTTACTATGTGGACTGAACAGCCCTGATATGCCAGTGCCCTGCCCATGCCATTGCCCCTCACTCCCAATGTACAGCCCCCAGTCCTGCCGGTGCCTCTCACTCCACACCCATAGCTGCCCCCCACCCCGGCTGCCAGGGCTACAGGGCCAGGGACCCAGGTCCTCAGCCCCTGCTCCCCCCAGCAGTGTCCGAGCCCCAGCTGCCATCTGTGGGAGGTGGTGGCTGCTGCGGCTGAAGTGGAGCATGGAGCCTGGATCCCCCTCCCCCACAGGCAGCGGGCTGCCCGCTGTTGGCTCGGGGCTCCCTGCCCTTCTGCCTTCCCCCTGGCATGGCAGGGAAGGGCAGAGCAGGGTGGGGATGGTTGGTGCCACCGCTGGAAACCACACGCTGCCATGGTGAGGTGCTCCTTGCCTGCCCAGTAGCAGCAGGGGGCACAACTCTGCGCCGCCACACCCACTGCTGCCATGGCAGTGCAGGACTCCCAGTGGTGGCACTGAGCCTCCTCACCCTGCTCTTCCCTGCCATGCCAGGTTCTGCTGGGCCCCAGGGGGCGGGCAGTAGGAAGGGGAGTCCTGAGCCTGCAGCAGGCAGTCTGCATCCGCCCCTGGTTATCTGGGGAGCACGTGTCCCCCCTTCCCCCCAGGAGTGTGTGCAGTGGTGGGGAGCCAGCCCCCCTGCCAACCCCCAGAAGAACTGGCTGCAGCGCCATCCTGCTCCCTGCTCGGGCCCTATGGCCATGCATTCTTACCTTGGCCCTGGCCCCCAAATCCCTGGCCCCGCACACTGCCCCAGGTGGGCAGTGCCTCCAGCCCTGTCCGACTTCCTCCCTCCCTCACTATGGGGGCCGTAATCCGTCCCACTCCAGACTAACCTACAGGTTGCTCCAGGAGCTGCTCTTCATGTGCCTGGCTGCTACGTGCCTGTGTGTGCATGTATATGCATGTAACACCCCCTGCCTGATTGCCCTCCTCCCATTCCCCCCAGCCCCTTGCAGGCTGGAACTCTGCTAGCCTGCAAGGGGAAACCTGCTGTTCCCTGCTTTTCTCCATGAAAGGAAAAAAACCTGTGGTTTTCTCCTTAAAATGAGAAAATCTGTGTTTTCCTGCGTTTTCCTGCGGTGAACAAAAAAACAGGATCCCTGGTTATGAGAGTGATTTTTCTAAAAATCTAATCTTCCCTCCTTTGATATTGTGAACCAAAAATAAAGGGGCCCACCTGAATGTAGAAGTTTGGCTCAGAGAAGGGAAAGTCTACTGCAACCCAGGAGGGATGTAATAAACCAACTACATTTAACCTTGTACTGGTAATCAATGGAGCTGAGGACAGTTGTGAATATCTGATATGCAGTTAGTTCTGCTTATGGTCTAAAAAAATACAGCATAGAGAGAGTTTGTATTAATGGATATCAGGGAGAAAGCCCTTCTTGGGCTATTATAGCTTTTTACTGCTGCCATTTTTTCTGATGAAGCTGCTGGTGCTGATTGCTGTCAGAAATAACATGCTTGTACTAGATGAGCCCCTGGTTTGATCTAGTTTCTGTAGTTCTGTGCCCTGTTGTTGGCCACATACAAATTGTAGCTGTGGTCTGTGGGTTTCATAGATCCCAGGAGACATCATATCCTGAATTGCTGGCTGCTTTCTTTTATGGAAGAATTTTTAAAGTAAATAATGAATATATCATATTCATGGGAACAATTGCATTTTTATTAAGTTATTAATTAAGGAGTGGGCTGTCAGGTCAGTGTGCCTGCCATATGCACATCTGCATATTCTCTCCCATCATATACAGCTGGATCTCACTGTTGTTATAACTGTGTCCTTGTCACCCTCTCAACTCCCAACTGGGTTTCCTTTGGAAGTGAAAGCAGAGTCAAAGTGTCATTTCTCAATCAGTGTGTTCCCTGTTGCTGGTTATAGTTCAACAAAGAAAGATAGCGTTGCCTACAAAATAGAGCCTTCTAATTTCTAGTTCTGCCACTGATCTGGAGGGTAACCTTTGGCAAGTCATTTCTCCCTCAGTACCTCCGTTTCCCTATCTGTCAAATAGAGAGCATAATACTGTTTGTCTTTGGAAAATGCTTTGATATCTGCTGATAGAGGTGCAATGCAAGACTTTGCTTTTTCTCCTTAAGCTACTTAAGTGGGAAACATCCTTACAGTTCACTAGCAGCTTCTGTTAAGTTTCTAGGCACTCTCTATGCAGGTCAATTAAAGATCTTTAGAAACTGCTTATAGATTTCATGGGGACTTAGGACTGGAAGGGATCTCCAGGGCCATCAAGTACAGTGCTCTCCTATTACAGGCAAGCAAATTGTATCATCACGTTTATATAGTTACAGTTCATGGGGCTTGATCCATTGCTCACTGAAGTAGAGGGGAACTTAATGGATTAGTCCCATGATACAATAATATCTTAAGGATGTTCAGAAGTTCCTGAGGGAATCAAGTATCCAGTTCCTTCAGGAACATTCAGAAACATCAGCCAGAAAGTGAGCCGCTGACTGATTCTCCTTTTGTATTTGATCTGATCCCTGAAGTGGTGATTCCCTTTGCATATCAAATCCCAATCCATTATCTCCTGAGTATTCCTGTTATTTAGCTGAGCAGTCTGGTGCTACATCCCTAGGGAGAAAGTAATTTCCCCTAAGTCACTTCATGTCAACACTTGCAGCTGCTTGCCTTAGGACTCCGCAGAGCCGACATATCTGCCTTCCTAATTGAGCAGATATGTGGAACCTGCCCTTGGGAACAGTTAGATACCATCCATATGACTGTTCAACACCATGCACACTAAGATGCTGTCTTTCACCAGGAGAGCAGAGGTTTTGTGAGTTACTTGTTGTCAGAGCAACCAAACAGCCTTGAATTTTATTTTCCTGTGCTTTATTTTTTTTTCAGTTGATTATCTACAGTGTCTCGCTGGCTTTGCCTTAATGCTCCACATCTTTTCCATTCCAGGTTCTTTCTTTCCTGCAATCAAGCCCCCGGACACAGTTTTTAAAATAACATTTTGGCTTGGATATTTAAACAGCTGCATCAATCCCATCATCTACCCGTGCTCAAGTCAAGAGTTTAAAAAAGCATTCCAGAACATCCTAAGAGTTCAGTGCCCCTTGAGGAAGCAATCTACTAAGAAGCAATCCTTTGGCTTTAACCTCAATCATCCAAGTAGCCCGGCCATGGAAAGTGGCAAGGACGTGGTCCGTATCCCTGTCGGCTCTGGGGAAACCTTCTATAAGATTTCCAAATCCGATGGGGTCTGCGAGTGGAAGATGTTCTCCACCATGCAAAGCATGTCTGCAAAAAGTGCAATTTCTAAGGACCAGTCAAGCTGCACAGTTGCCAAAGTAAAGAGCAAAGGGTTCTTAAGGGCATGCTGCTGTACTGGCACATCAGGGAATACTGTCCGGGAGAACCGTAAAGTGCCCACCATTAAAATACACACCATCTCCCTCAGTGAGAATGGGGAGGAGGTCTAAAGAAGGGATTGAGAGCTCTAGCAGGAAGGGTCATGGAGGAATCTTGATGTGATTTTTCAGCTCTGGCAACCTGGTAGCACTGCTGGTGGGAGGTTGCTTTTCTTAATAGGAATTCAGGGTAGGGGTTGCAGTATGGCGATCACAGAGGTCGACAGCTTAACTTTGAAAAGCAGCTCGAGATGTGTGGGGAACTGAAGTTAACTTCAGTGGGTGGTGGGTCTGATCCAAAGTCCAGTGAAGTCACTGGCAATCTTACAATTGAGTTCAATGGGCATTGCAGACACGATAGTCATCTGGCCACTTGGAATGATTATAGCAATGTTTCCTTGCTGCTCAATGGCCTTATTTTTTCACTGTAACTTTTTATTTTACAGCTCCAACCCTTCTGGTTTTGAAGCTCAATGAAAACAGAGGGGGGGGGAGTCCCAATGAGTACCATAAAATATTGTAGTGATTTTTGGCATGGATGCTTTCAAAGGGCTCTAATTTTAGAGCCATTTTATGATCTCTTTTTATTTATTTATTTATTTTTAGGCTGAACTTGTTGATTCAGTGCAGTTCAAGCTGAGGGCCTGGGGAAGGGAAAGCTTTGCACAGAATGTTACATATCTTGGAGTGTCCTTCAACAGGGGTATTCAGTAGGGATGTGTGATGGCTTTTCAACTGTTTTGTGCCTCTGTTCAGTTCCAGTCCCAATCCTGTGAGGTACTGAGCATCCCAGGCTATTGAAGAAAACAGGGAGTTGACAACACACTGGGTCATGTCCGCCACTGGTGCAGATCTGTGTAGCACCATTCACTTCACTGTCAATGGAGTGATGGTGAGCAATACCAGTGGAGGGTGTAGCTTCCTGCCATGGATAGCATTCCCTGGCCTGACCTCAACGATGTTGAAGTTTTGGTGAGTTCAGCTTGCAGATTTAGTGGAAACATCCCTTCAGCTTTTGCCCTGCTTGGCAGCACTGCCCTAAGTCCCACTTTGTATTCTGGATTCCAGCAAACTCCATCCCAAAGCAAAACATGATCAAAAGAGTTGCATTGCACCTCATTTAAAGAAAAAAGAAATCTGCCAGTTTCCTCTTTAAAAAAAAAAATTAAAAACAAACAAAATGTGAACTCAGTCCTTCCAGGTTCATTTAAAAGGATTTTGCACCTTAGTTATATTGTAAAAATACCTGTATCTGGGTTAGATTTATGCACTTGAGGGTGATTTTTTTGCACCATTTTATTTTCTTAGTCATGGTAAGGCCTCCAAAGGGCTATTGACATATTAAACCCCTCCACTTCCAGGTACTTGCAGTAGCCAGGTTGTGGCATGTTGATGTATTGCAATCATTGGAAGATATTCAGATGTTTTACTGCTGCTCTGCTGCAGATCTTTACTGCATTCTTCCCTTGATGCTCCCATAGTAAGGTCCTGGAGACTCCCACCTCAGAATTTGGCCCCTTATTTCTGTTCAGATCAATGGAAGTTAAACCTATATGAGATAAAATGGTCCCCTTCTCCTCCTGCCCTTGACTGTGAATGCTGAAGGAAAACAATTGGAGTGATTATATTTTACCTTAGTTATTCAAACAAATAAACAGGTCTGCACCTGGAAGTGATGGTGGGAGGAATTATCTGTACAGCATTAGGAATAAGCAGCTCATAACATAATTACCTACTGAGCCTGCCAAGTAATAAAGCAGCTTTCTTGTCACAAAGCACAAAGCTTTCCTGGTGCTCATGTGTCAATCCTGTGAGGTGCTAGATGATACCCATTGATCTGAATGTGGATGGAGACTTCTCAGCCTCTAAAGGAGCGACTGGGAGTTTTGCAGGGTAAGGCTTTGAAAAGGGACCTGGACATCACTGATGAGGAATCACTATTTATTCATCTTCCATGCAGTAATTAGTCCTCATATTGATGGTGTTTGATTCTCCAATGTCTTTCATTTATGCACATCCTAGACTGTTTCCTTCTGCAAATGCATGGCATCATTTGGACCTTGTCAGTTTATATGTGAAACACTGCAAAATTAGCATTTAAAGGGCTTGATTCTCAAATGCACTCAAGTTGCTTTAGAATTCTGGCTCTCAGTAAAGCTACTGCAAAATGAATGTAGATGTAATGTCCATGCTGAGGCTTTCTTATATGGCCAGGAAGGAATAAAGCAGACTTAGTGTAAATAAGCATCAGGTTCCACAGGTAAGAACAAAATATAGAAGAACATTTTCAGTTCAAGAAACTCCCAGGCAAAGTATTATCAGATTTGGGGATGAGACTTACAGCAGGCATTTAGGCAGCTAAAGATGCAGATAGATGCCCAGTAAAGTCAATAGGAGTATTTAAGGGAGTTAGAATTATCTCCTAATTTTCAGTGGGAGGTAAGTGCCTAACCTTGTTCAGTAGGTAGCAGCATTTAGTAAAGTACGCAGCTGCATCTTGAGATACTTCAGTTCCTTTGGAAATCTGGCTATTGTTGTCTTAGCTGTCAAAGATCTCTCAATTAGCCTGGTCAAAAAGAATCCACAGACCATGTATCACTAGCCAATCTTTAATGATGAATGTAGGAAAAAGTGTAATCTTTGTAGACAGTTTATAAACAGAAGCTAAACTGGCCAACAAAATTTCACACTCCATTTCCATGCAGCTGTACTCTGAGTGCACTAAATAGCTTGTGTCAATTCAGAGAACATGAGTATAATTCAAAGATTTCTCAAGACCTAAGAGGCATGAATGATCTCATAATACTGTCAGTTTCTTTCTGCTCTACTGATCAAGAGCACTTCCGATACTCTTTGGGTGCATCTACATATCACCCTACGTCACTGTAGTGACATGCTAAGTTGCCATATGAAGCGCTACGGCGATGCAGCGATCATGTGAGTCTACATGAGCTACTTTGCCGTAGTGGTGTGCTCCCCTGTTTTAGTGTGTCCCTGTGACGATGTTGTGGCTAAAACTAATTGTGCACTGTGTGCACGGTGCAGGAGTAATGTTGCCATAGGGCGACATGTAGATGCGCCCTTTGTGTTCCTGCCATTTTTCTTCCACCTGTTACCTCAAATACATGTTTTATGTGTGTTTTTTCAGGTGCTGTAAGAATAAAATCTGTTCACAGCAAATTGGGTTTGCAATGTGGCAGCTGACTTTTAGGGGTGAACCCATACAGCCTGACGGTGTCTGCTTTCATAGAATCATAGAAAATTAAGGTTGGAAGGGACCTCAGGAGGTCACATCTTGTCCAACTCCCTGCTCAAAGCAGGACCATCCCTAACTAGATCATTTTAGCCAGGCCTTAAAAACCTCCAAGGATGGAGATTCCACCACCTCTCTAGGTAACCCATTCCAGTGCTTCATCACCCTCCTAGTGAGAAAGTTCTTCTGGATATCTAGCCCAAACTTCCTTTGCTGCAACTTGAGACCATTTTTCCTTTTTCTGTCATCCGCTACCACTGAGAACCGTCTAGCTCCATCCTCTTTGGAACTACCTTGCAGGGAGTTGAAGGCTGCTATCAAATTCCCCCTCAGTTTTCTCTTCTTCAGACAAAATAAGTCCAGTTCATAGAATCGTAGAAAATGAGGGTTGGAAGGGACCTCAGGAGGTCACATCTAGTCCAATCCTCTGCTCAAAACAGGACCAGTTAACTACGTCATCCTAGCCAAGGCTTTGTAAAGCCACATTCAGTGGCAACGCGTAGAGGGTGCACGTGCATCCCCTGAGAGCGCTGGTGCACCCCCTGACTCCTTATAGCTCCTGTTCTCTGTGGATCAGCCACTTGGGTAGAAATTACTGACCCCAACTAAGCAAGCATGCTACTCTCTCCAGCCTGGGACAACAGTACAATGAATGCCACCCGGTATGTTCTAACGTGATTAGGAATATATGTGCTTTGGAAAAGTGTAAACCAGGGTCACCAAGCATAATTAATGCTGCTATTTAGTCCTTCTATCATTTGACTTAGCGGTATAGTTATTAGTCTTGTAGACATGAATTCATTTCCATTCCACCTATACAGATACTGCCTATAAATAGAGGTTGACTGTATATGTGAGTTGCCCTGCATTACAACCAAATTAGGTTGTAAGGGAAGGCAATGCTGTAGATTTAATAGATTTCATAAACATTAGGGCTGGAAGGCACCTTGTGAAATCATTGGATCCTGCACCCTGCCCAAGTAGCAGGAAGGCAGCTGGGGTTAGATCACCCCAGAAAGATAAGCTTCCAAGCATTTCTTAAAGATATCCAGAGTAGGTGCTTGCACCACTTCTGTGGGGAGTATATTTCAGACTCTGGAGACTCGGACGGTAAAGAAGTTTTTCCTTATGTCCAGTCTAAAACGGTCTTCCAGCAGTTTGTGATCGTTAGACCTGGTCTTCCCTTGGAGTGCCCTGGTGAACAGATGTTCTCCCAGTTCCTTTCCAGTTTTCCAGCTTTCTAGTTCATCAAAACTTTGTTGCATTCCACAGGTCAGTAAACTATACTTTATAGCTTTCCTTGCTATGAGAGATCCCACTTAGTTGATTGGATTAAGTAGACACAGTCATTTTTTTCAGTTTTCCCAGATGAATACTGTATTAGAAAACTACAGAATGTCTGATATAGTTTAATATTAGAATAGGGTCGAATCAACACCCTGGACCTTGACCATACCTCAACTTCAAAAAAGCATTTAGCTCTGATTTTTGGCAGTGTCCATCTGCAGTGGAAGAAAACCAACCTTCTTTAGAGCTGTTTTGAACCTTTTCTAAGGTTCTGAAGTGATCTCCAGGATTTTAAACCCAGATGTGTTGAAATGTCGTACAAAGTTTATTTTCATGGTATTTCAAGCCAGACCAGAAGGGGAAGAGCTGCAAATATCATACACAAATCTTGTTCTTTCAAAAGTCCAAGCTAAGTTCTGCAGCCCTATAGGCTTCAAATACTTTGGATTCTCATCTGAACTAAACCTGAACTCTGAAATACTTTGAAAGTGATTGTCATGTTTTCATAATGAGAACATTACTAGCAAGTAGGCCTGTGTGAAGTGGCCAGTATTCGCTTCAGATTCGGCCAATTTGGGGGACAGGGATTCGTTTCGGTGATTCGAATCACTGTCCTGAATTGATTTGGCGGAATCTGATTTGGAGATTCAGCTGCTGCCGAATCTCCAAATCACACAGGC